GTGCTAGTTGTGTTGATAGTGGTGGTTGTAGAGTGCGGTAGTGGTGTTGGTGTTAGTAGTGGTATTGCTATGGTGCCGATGCTGACGGTGGTAAGTGTGTGAAGTAGTGTTGGTGTTAATGTTGGTGGTGGTGTTGGTAATTTTTTTTTAATGGCAATGATAGTTTTCTTTGAGTTATGGTATTTTAAATGACACTTTATGCTTTTTATGATAAATATTTATGTTGATTAGTTTTTTTCTTGCTAGTAACGCGATGGTTAAGACAAAAGAAATCGGTTCATCTGTTATTTGGTATAAAAAAGTCAAACTATTAATTTGTGACCTCTGCCTTGAGAAGATGGAATTGAGAAAAAGGTCAACAACCTATTTTAACAAGGCGGCTGACAAAATATTATAAAAAAGTTCAAATAAAGCACAAGCATGGAATATGATGGGATGCTGTTTATTTAAATAATGTTTCGCTAATAGCAAATTCAGTGATTCTTATACGTGTTTTTTGCATAGACAGTAAATAACATCGTCATAGAAGGACGTAGAAGAAGAGTTACAACTTTGTTGTGTTTGTTGTAAGAGTACTATAACACTATATTGCTCCTTGCATGACACCTTCATAAATTGGCGATAAGTTGATTGAGGAGTTGCTTGTAGGGCATCCAACAATATTCAACAATATGTTCCGTATGATATAGCATGTATTCATTGATCTCTTGGAAGAACTACACAGGAATTATGGACTTCATGACTCCTTCAGGATGACTTCTAGAGAGGTGTTAGCAATAACCCTCCATATTTTATTATGGAATGAATCTATGAGAGGAGCCATAAAACGATTCAAACACTCATCAGAAACAATCAGTAGATATTTTTTCAATTGAGTTGAATACTATAGTCAGTTTCTCATTATAAATTATTAAACCCGATAACCCAATATTCAAAAGAACTCCCTTAGAGATTTCATAGGACCCACGCTATATTTCATATTTTAAGGTAATTATATTTATTTTTTTACAGAATTCAAATGAACATAGTCATTTTGACTACATGTTCAATTCTTTAAAATTGTATTGGACCGATCGATGGAACACACGTGAATGCACGTTTTTCAAATAATGAAAAGATCATAATCATTAGATGATGCAGATCGTCAACATAAAATGTCATGATTGTATGTGACTTTAATATGTGTTTTACTTTTATTATGATTGATTAAGAAGGTAGTGC